ATATATATACAGAGAGAAAGGGAGATAATGACTAATACTAGTTAATAATAATATTTCTTAGAATGGGTAGAGCTACTTTGTTCTTTTGTGAGCATATTTCATAAGGCAAGAGAAAACAGAAAAGGTAAAACACAAAAGTCGAAATACAGCTTGTATCCTTGGGATTTGTAGCTGCCAGATGTTTTGCAGCGAGTGCAGTAGTGACAATAGGAAGGCTCCTTAAATCTGAGCTAAAGAAGCCAAGAGATGTTGCTGAGCTCCTCTGTTATCCACCTACTCACCTTGCCTTCATCCTTCGGGCTGTCACTCAGATGAACAACGGGTCCTGGATGGGTTTTAGTTGATCTGAGATGAGAAGGAAGATGAGATATGTAACATGGGTATCCACTGTAATGCTTTAAAACCACAATACCAGAAGATAATTTTGTTTTTAGAGCCAAAGAAAAAGGTATACGATTTCTCTTTCACCCAGATCAGTACAACTAAGTACAACTGGTTGCTTAAATGAGGTAAAATATTGCTGCAAAAACCTTGACATTTAGAGGCACGAAAATAAAATACCCACTGACTGTATTTACAGAGTAGTGAGTGAGAATAAAAAGGGCCTAGGGCAGCACATATACACATAAAAATGTGTTTTTCAGAACTGTAATTTTCATGTAATAAAAAAAGAATCCTGCTGACAGTTGCATTTAGTAAATTACCCTTTTGTGAAATAATACATGTCCTGTGCTTTCTAGAGGGAGTTTCTTTCTATTTATTCGCCATGGAGGCTGAACAATGACATGCAATCGAAGAACCATTTACACACCTGTGTTCTACTTTTCACTCTGCAGGGGCCTACAATATAAAAGGAATGCGCAAGATTTTATTTACACATAAAAAATAATAATGATTGTATTGCTTAATACATTAGGGCACTAATGATAATTAGCTTAGTGACAGAATTTTTATTGCTGTACAATAAAATTCGGACCCCTTAAACTTTATTTGCACAATTTACCAGAAACTTTGCTATGTTTTATTTAGATTTTATGTGAGTGAACAACCAAAAATAAAATGGTTTGTTAAAGGAAATGGGATAATGTTTTTCAAAAATACAATTCTGAGAAGATTGATGTGGCATTTTTATTTATATTCCTTTGATGTATTCTGAATACAATCCAGTGCAACCTCTGTCATTCAGAAGCCTCCAAAGTTATAAATATTTACATGTATGTGATCTAATCTCAGTATAAATTCAATGATTCCTCAGAGAGTACCAGGAAGCAAACAGCATCATCACTGTTGCCGGATGTTGTCATGTAGCCTGCTTGATTAAATATTTTTTGGGCATACTGGCTGGATGCCACTCTCTGCTCTGCTCCACTCTGTTAGAGTATGCCGATGCACATGCCTCACTCCTAATCACACCAGTTCCTCTCAACTGTGATCATGCTTATTAATACCTGCCCCTCTCTGTTAGTCTTTGCCAGATTGTCTCCTCCTTTCCGGCATTGGGTTAATTGCATCATTTGCAGCTTTTGCTTTTTTCCTCACCCTGCCACTGGATTCGCATTGGCCTCTGACTGGTTATTTCCTGGACTTTTCCTGTCTGTAATCAGTCTGTTCTACCTACCTCTAGCCTATCTAAAGCCAGTCATCACTCTGTCATCAACCTGCTCTAGTCCGCTGTCAAAAACATAAAACTATTAAAAGGGAATTGGTTTGCTTGGCTGCGATGGACTGGCGACCTGTCAAGGTTGTACCTTGCCTCTCGCCCATTGACTGCTGGAGATAGGCACCAGCACCCCTCGCGACCCCACTTGGGACAAGCGTGTAAGAAAATGGATGGATGGATAGATAGTTTGCTTGGGAGAATTTCGGTAGTCCTCCAATCTCATATCAGGCATATTTAGGGTGACCAATCGTCCTCTTTTCCCCGGACATGTCCACTTTTTACGTCCTGTCTGGGGCGTCCAGAGGGGGATTATATATTCATGAAATTTTCCTATTTTCACAGTTTTTCATGGGATTATAATCATATGCTTAAATCGACAGGGGCTTTGCACAGAATACTACGGTACTTTGCTGCCCGATATAATTCTCGAGGGACTGTCTTGTGGAAGGGTCTAGAGAGACATTAAAGCATGGAACACAAAATGCTGAAACATAAATGCAGCTTCACAGATGAACTCCAGAAAAATTAGCAGGTACTGTCCTGGTCGAATCAAGTGGGAGGCTGTTCTCCAAAGTTTAATGAATACTTTGTTAGACCTGGGAAAATTAGTTTAAGCTATATTTTCTAATACAGAAGAGGTCATATTTAGAACATTATTAGATTTTATATATGTATTTTAAAAGGGAGCTATAATTTTGTTACTGGTTGTCACATATTTTGTTTTACTAAAAATTTATTTTTCTACCATTTTGGTATGATAAAGCGTGCTCATTAACCTTTGAGAAGCCTGTCTGAATCTGTCTCGAGGCTGGGCAAACTTTCTGCTTTTTTGGAAATCCAAATATGGTCACTCTAGGGATATGCAACATGTTGGATTGTGTTAACCTAATATCCTAGTGTGGGGTTGCTCCCTGAGGGCAAATGAGCATGCAACCTGCTAAATGTGGCATTTAGTTAATCGTCAAGTGAGTGGTTTCCTACTGTACGCATTTTCTCAGGAATTTTTCTGTGTATAGCTCCATCCATCTTACCACGTACTCTGACCAGCTTGCCTGCCCCTTTTTTAATTAAAAAATAATCCCAAAAATTGGCAACTGCCATTACAGTATCATGTTATGAAGACTGTTTGTTCCAGGTAACATAAAATGCTAGATTTATGCCATACCAGAGGATTTATAGGTTAACCAACCAGTTGAGATTTAGAGCATCCCCTTCACATGTTTCCCATGTAGCATAGTTTTCAGAGAAGTGCACACAGACTCTTTATAGCCGTTTTTCAACAATGGGTCTCATCTTATGAATTTTCCATGAGGGTAAAATTTATAGAATAAATGGTTAAAGACCTGTCAACACCTTTAGCCAGTCTATTGAGAGGGTGTAGCTCCTTCAGAGTTACCATGGGCCTATTAGCGGCTTCTTTGATTAATGTTCTCCTTACTCCTAAATTCAGGTTAACAATCATGTCTCAAGTTCATTAATCTATAAAACCTTTACAAAACTGGGGTTAAATCACACACATATTCATGTTCTGTACTAATTTGGGACACAGGAGTCAGATCTTGCATATCCAAATTATTTTTTTTTCCTATTTTCTCAGTACAGTTATGAAGTCAGATAAATAACCTTAATCAATGACCATAAGGTGTGTTGTGCATGACAAAATATGAAAAAGTCCAAAGGGTTTTCATACTTTTTTAGAGCTCTGTAATAATAATGTGGCAGATTAAAGCATGAATGAAATGCTAAGGCACGGTTTAACAGCACAGCAGAGTACAAAACCTAATTCTTTAACCCACAATCCCACTACACAGGTGCTTAAATACAAAAAACACACATATACAATCGAAAATATTCACTTTACATTGTAAGTGTGAGCACATTTCTGAAATGTCCACCTTTTAATGAAGACTAAATGGCCCCCATACCTACTGTAACTACCTGCACGCACATGGATATGAATAAAGGTCAACTAATAGCAAAAGGCTCTCTTGGAGTTTATTAAAAAAAAAAAAAAAAACTTGATGCAGAGAGAAAAATGTTCTCTGCACTTATTGAATTTTCCATGGCCATGACTCGGGCCAAATGCTTCCTTCTGTATACCAAGCTCTATTCTTTGGCTGCTGAAAGCCTCCAAACAGCAAAGGCAGATATGAGAATTTCAGATGAAATTAGTGACTTCGTAATAAAGTCACCTAGACAACTGACAAGGCCAGGCTTTCAAATCACACATAATCAAGATGAGCAGGAAGTTCTAAGTAAAAAAAAACAAAAAAAAAAAACTGAATAATACTCACTGTACTTCACTGTATTCTGAGGTTAAATTGCAGTTTAACATTTCTTTAAAAATATGTTGATTTTGCTCTAAAAGACAACTGTCTTCAATAATGTGAGTCTGCTTGTGAATCTAGTATTTAACTTTGTTTATTCTATGTGTTTCATTCTTTGTTACCAATTTTTCCCTGCCTTTCAACCCCCCATGCGCTTCCATCACACCTCCCCTGGTCCGCCTTCCTGACTGTATTCATGCCCCATTCCATCTAGATCAGCAGTAGGAACACAGGTCTGGGGATTACGCTACATTTGCCTCCGTTGTGCAGCATTAAGTGTTAAAACCTGTGGGATTCTGTAATTGTTCAGGACAGGATTCAAACTAATGGCTGAAAATAATATCAACAAATATCTTATTGTTCAATCATTATTGCATAGTAGCCCAATTACTCTTGAATCGTTAGGATTATTATTGACCAGAAAAAAAGCAAAGATAAGCATTTTTAATGACATTGTTTTTTTGTTTTTTTTTTTGTTGAATGCTAACTTATCTTTTTATCACACAAAAATGGTAAAGAAAAAAGCACATTTCTAAAAAATAAAATGGCTTGGATTTGCTTAAAATTATGCCAGTAGCAGAAGCACTTAACATACGCGGTTTTTAGTACCTACCTACATATTTGCTTGAATGGTGTTTTACATTGGAGGCTTTTAGCTATACTGAATATGAACATAATTATACAAGGTCCACTAACTTTCAAAGCCAGATTTCCAACATTCGTGAATATTCTAGCTGATGACATGGATTTAAAATTCTGCCTTCAGCAGAAAAATAAGGGTTTCGGTTTGTCTAAATTTGCTATTTCGTCTTTGTTTCTGTTATTTTCTTTTTTCCCTGCCAGCTTTAATGGTAAACAGCTATATTTCCCAGTTTCTTAAAATTATGACTTCTGATTCTTATCCATAAAATGACAGTGACAAATCACTCAAATGGGAAAGTATAAAAGTTATTTTAACCAGCCAATCTCCACAGTTGTCATAACTCATGACCACAAGCCTAAAACAAAGCAAAAAATAGAAATTTAGGATATGGATTTACATTCTGGTCCTGTATCATGTAAGGAATTCATTTTTTTTTATTTTGTCAAATGGACTCATGACCACATAACTTCTTTAAGAGTGTTTTAAGAAAGCTGCAGGTGTTCTGATGACAGAAAACGATTATGTTGGGGAAAAAGCCAAGATTTTTAAACTATATGTACCTTTTTGCCCTTGAGAATCACAAAATAAAAGAATTGAATCAGAAGAAGAATCAGAAATGAATTGACATAAGAAACAAAATTAATTTATTATTGTAAAGACAAAAGCCTGGCCAGGACATTATTTTCTATCTATGGCAGGGCCATTGGAACCATGG